AGGGGTAAAGTATTTTCGCAATTTCTGCCATGAACATTTTATTAGCTTCTCTCCCCTAAGCTGCAGCCAATCAGCGCGCGTACCCGGGCACCTGCGTCTCTTGCGTCAAAACCGCCAGGCCCAGCGAATGCAGGCGCCTTGCGAGCTTGGAGTGATTTAAAACGCTTTGGATTCCGGGGGCCTGGGTGGGGAGCTGGGTGCCCCCTGCATCCCCCATCCCCAGCATCCCATGAGCCGACCCTCGGCCCCATGGAGCCCGGCAATTATGCCACCTCGGACGGGGCCAAGGATATCGAAGGCTTGCTGGGAGCGGGAGGGGGTCGGAATCTAGCCGCCCATTCCCCCCTGACCAGCCACCCAGCGGTGGCGTCTACGCTGTTGCCCGCTGTCAACTATGGACTGGATCTGCCAGGCTCTGCGGAACTGCCAAAGCAGTGCCACCCATGCCCCGGGGTGCCCCAGGGAGCGTCCCCAGCTCCGGTACCTTATGGCTACTTTGGAGGCGGGTACTACTCCTGCCGAGTGTCGCGGAGCTCGCTGAAACCCTGTGCCCAGGCGGCCACCCTGGCCGCCTACCCCACGGAGACTCTCGCGGCCGGGGAGGAGTACCCCAGCCGCCCTACCGAGTTTGCTTTCTATCCGGGGTACCCGGGATCCTACCAGCCTGCGACCAGTTACCTAGATGTGTCGGTGGTGCAGAGTCTGGGTGCCCCCGGGGAGCCTCGCCACGACGCCCTGCTGCCTGTGGACAGTTACCAGCCCTGGGCCCTCACCGGTGGCTGGAACAGCCAGATGTATTGCCAGGGAGAACAGAATCCACCGGGTCCCTTCTGGAAGGCTGCATTTGCAGGTAACCTGCCTCACGGCTCTGGGTCCCCTTGGCTATAAGTGTGGGGTTGCAGACGTAGCTGCCAGTTGCCTGGGAGGAAGAAGAGGGAGACCTGGAGCTGATAACGGAGAGCTTGGTGCTCCTCTTTGGCTAATAGGACTCTGAGGAAGGATTGGAGAGCCTGGGTGGAGACCCTGGAGGGTCAGTGTGAGGGGCAGGAGCTGGGTACTATCTGCATCCAGAGGCCACCAGGCCCATTCACCTCCCTCAGAGGCCTTGCAACCAGCCTTTAATATGTCCGAGTCTTTGGCTTTCTTTGCTGTTCCATGGGGATGGGGCTCAGGGTTTCCTTACCCAGCAGATCGTAGTTTAATTCTACAAAAAGGCTAAATAACTCTTAATTCAGTGAGTGTGGGTAAGAACAGAGATATTGGATGTTCTGTAAAGAATATTATCCCTCACTTTCTCTTATTTGAGTTTTTCAGTTTCCAAAGGAAAATTTGGATTTCCTGCAGCCATAACTTAGGTGTGTGCACTGATTTGTGTGTATGTGTGTGTATGTGTTGGGAGTGGGGTCAGAAACATGTTCCCTGCTGTACACAATTTGCCTGTAGAATCTATACAAATGGCCAAGAGTCTGAAAACGCGTATGAGGGTGAATGTACGTGACTGCGGGCAAATGTCCAGCTGGGTGTGATGGGTGTGTTTGCAGACTTGCAGGTGTGAGGGCAGTGACGGGTGAGGGTGGCCTACAGGATCCTGGTCTTTCCAAGGCTAAGCGGTGATTAGAGAACCAGCTGGAAGCTGAGGTGTCCCTGGGTGCTTTGGGGGAGCGGGAGCACACCTACTTTTGTAGGCTGACCTGGGTGCACCTATGGGATGACTTAGTTTGTGGGGCCTGGGTCTGCGCCTGGGCAGGGGTCTAAGTGTATCTTTCTCTTCCTCCCTCTCTGCTGCGAAGACTCAAGCTCTCAGCACCCTCCAGACAACTGCACCTTCCACCGAGGCCGCAAGAAGCGCGTTCCCTACAGCAAGGGGCAGTTGCATGAGCTGGAGCGCGAGTATTCCGCTAACAAGTTCATCACCAAGGACAAGAGGCGCAAGATCTCCGCGACCACCAGCCTCTCAGAGCGCCAGATCACCATCTGGTTTCAGAATCGCAGGGTCAAGGAGAAGAAGGTCCTTGCCAAGGTCAAGACCAGCGCTACTCCATGAGGGAGCTCCCTTGCTGGGGAGGTAGGGGAATGTGGGGGTATCCTAAGGAGACCAGGAGCCTGCCAGGACACTGCTGAGGAGCCTCCAGAGGTGACCCTCTTTTCAGGCCATGGTTCCTGTGCTGTTTTTCAGGGACAGCCTGAGTACCCCATATGTTTCAGAGAGCCAGTGAGGCCCAGAGTTACAGCCTAATCCCCCAGAGTGACACCACCCAAAAGACCTGCCCGTCATAATCATTCATCCTGGCAGTGGCGATAATCACCATATCTAGTACTGGTTGCCATGATAATTAGTCTCATATTTTCTATCTAGAGCTCTGTAGAGCGCCATAGAAACCGCTTTCATGGAATGAACTGATCATGAATAAACTTGGAAGGAGACCCCACTGACTGGTGGCAGGGAACTTCCTCTGGATCCTCTTCTGTTTTCCAAAACCATCCCTCATCCCTGCTCCAGCAGGGGGGAGGAGATAAGGCAGGGTCACCCCTGTGAGTTGTCCATTTAGCATTTTTCTAAGATGACATGACAGCTGGGCAGGATGGACAATGCATCTCCCTCTCTCCCTGCCCACCCCATAGGTTGTAACCACTGGTCTCGGAAGTCCCCACCCCCAACTCTTAGATTTTTGTCCTTGTGTGAAAGTGGTCATCCGGATGCCTTCCTGGGTTGGTCCTCCTTCCTTTCAGAGAAATGAAGTTTGAGAAAGAGCCTGTTTCATTCACCATTTCTCACTTCCTCCCCAAAACTTGCTAAGTTGTCCCCTGCCAGTCCTGGTGGTTCCGACCTAAGCAGGTCATGGTTCATTGGACATTTGGAGCCACATGAAATAGATATTTGTGGCCTTCTAGAGGTGGCCCCTCCCAGGCACAAAGGATTACAGAATGCGAGAGTAGAATCCTGCCTTATTGGCAAGCGTGTCTGAAACACGCTGGTATAGCCGGGCAGGAGAGAAACCCCCAGAAAACGGCCCCATCACCACTCATTCCTCCCCTGCTTGCCTCCCGGTGACACTTAAAGGAGCTTGAGAGTCTCAGGTCTGTGAGATGCGGATGCAAGAACCGCGGGTGACGGAAGCCCTAGGCTTCCGGTGGGGCACCCCACGCGGCCCAGGCGACAGTGGCCACAGATTCATTTACTTTTCACTTAGCGCTGGTTCGGACCACGTACCCTGAATCTCAGGTGGGTGGAGGGCAGGTTGGCACCAACTCTGTTGTCCTGGGCCAAGTAGACAGAGAGAGACCCATAGGGTGGAATGCCGGAAACCTGGGGCAGACCGCTGTTCATGCAGCCCTGGACGCTGACACGGAGTCTCTGCCTCTGTGCCGCCTCCCTGATGTCGTGTACTTAGGCACAGTGGCTAGTGGGACTTACTACATTGGCCGCGCAGCAAAGCCAGCGGGTTTGCGCTGGATCTTCCTGCAGCATGAGCTGGGGGGTCCTGGCAGACATGCTCCCTGCAATCGAGCACACACGGATGAAGTGGAGAGGACCCGTCGGATTCACGTTCCGAGCCACTCAAGCAACTGGGGAGGGTGGGGAGCTGCGGCCATGGTCTCGATGGTGGTTCCTGCTTGGAGCCGGCTCCGAGTTCTCCAGGAAACTCCAGGATGGCCGCTGCAGCCCAGAGATCAGGGTATTTCCAGCCTGCGGTCGGGTGGGATCCCAGACCTGGCTCCTCTCACCCTAAAGTTTTGGAGAGTGACTCAGGCGCATCTAAATCTGTTTACCAAAGAGGAATAGGGGCTAAGGGAAAGGCCCCCGAAAGCGGGCGGTCAACCTCCCTCAATGGGTCTCCTTAGAGTGTGTGTGCTGGGGGTGAATGAGTGTCAATTTCGTGATTTAAAAAATTCCTTCCAAGCCCGGTGGTCCAGTTTAAGCTCCTTGGTAACGCGCCCGGCTCAGAGGAGGTTACTTTCTGCCTCCCACGTTCCCCTTGAAGCGAAGTACCAAGCAAGTAGCTTTTAACATTAGTTTCTCCAGGACAGTGCATGCAAAACCCTCCCTCACCGCTTCAGAAATAGCAAGACTTCAGCGCAGATAGTCGTGTGAATAGGCTGTGGAACAAATGACGGGGAGCGCCATGTTGCGGGGTCCCCACATGCGGAGGGAAAAGGCCACGAGAGAGGTTGCCACTTGTATTAACCCGGATGGCCTAGGTGGAGGCCTGAATGGGTCAGTGCCCCGAAACTCTGGACTTCTTCTACTCTGCGATCAGGGACTTAAAGTTTCGGGGTTCCTCTATTATTCGCTCGCAATACTGTCAAAAGGAACAAAAGATTGGGAATTTTAGAGATTTCTCTATCAAAGTAGGTTTGGACTATTAAAAAGGCAAGGGCGCCCCCTTCCGACAGAGGCTCGCTATTTCAGGGAAACCTGCCTGTCAGCTCTGCTGTAACCTGCAAGCGGGCCTCTGGCGTCGTGGTGCCTGGGGCTTCCGGCCTCAGGGTTGCAGAGTTTGGGGCTGCGTGTGAGGGCACCAGGACTCGGAGTCGCCTGGAATTGGACCAGGATATCAGCCGGTGTGTTAGTCCAGGCGCCGAGAGGCCCAGGAGGAAGGCCAGGAGGGCAGCACGAGCGATCTCGAATAGAGAAAGAACAGGGCGATCAGGGCTCTGGGAGCAAGGCCGCGGCGCCATCTGCCCTCAGTCCAGGCCTTCGTTTCATGGTAGGATGATGTTTATCTCTCGCCAGAATAATTTGCGGCGGACCCCCTTCCCCTTTTTTCTGAATGATTTACTTGTATGGACTGTGCAAATCCAGACACACACACACACACACACACACACACACACACACGGTGCCAAAATATATATACACATTTTAAGAAAGGAAAAAACTATTAAAATTGTAATACTCAATATATACCGATAACAAAAGATGAATACAAGTCATGTGTGTACATTTTTTGGCACCCCCAGCTATATGTAATCTCGTTTTGTATTAAGCTTTTAAAAATTTCTTTCCAAACACTACTTTTACTCTCGAGGCGAATTATAACCTCCTCCCACTGAGACCATCATTCAAAAACCTTTACTAATTTTTGTGCCCAAATTACAACAAAACCAATACATCTACCTTTACTTGCCTACAGCTGTTCGCTTTTAAATAGGGCACTTCTTTACTACCGGAGAGCGGATTTTGCTAAAATTATTTAGGCTGAAACATGTGAACACAATGTTCACTAATAGGTAAACTCAGACAACATTCTCATGGACAAATACACGCAAAGGCGCGCAAATACACTCTGGAAAATCCACCAAGCGTTTTTTTCACCAACGAGGCGTAATTTTACTCGGAGCTGCCCTCTCCCTTCCTTCGAGCTAAACCGTTTTTTTCGGCTGAGTCTCAGCAAACGTGGAAACAGGATCGGGAATCGCGTCTACGCTGGCTCCAGGAACAAATCACTTCCACCTCCAAACCAGGTGGGTTTTATCAGGCCTCCAGAATTAAGGGATAGTGGTGAAGTGCGTAGACGCACCCTCCGGAAGCGCTTTTCGAATCTTGATTCCCGTAGGAGCCCAGCGGAGAGCTCACCCAAGGCCCCAGTTCTGGGGTCCTTTCCTCATACTGGCAAACTCTCCGGCCGCGCTGGAACTCGCGAGGCCGAGGCTGGCCAAGTATCTGCACCGCCGT